CATTTACCCAGAATGCTTTGCATGTAAATAAAATGGTCCCGTCCATGTAATATATTTTTAAACTTTTAGTTTAAAAATTATAAAAACTGAACATTTTTTATTTACAGTCTTTATTTTACAGTTTTAAAGTATATGTTTATCACATAAAGTCTAATGCTACAACTAATCGGGGATCCCTTTAATACAAGCATAAACATGTGTTTGTCAAATATAAGTAAAGTAAACAGAGACTAAAATCAAATGACTCAGACCACATACATTATAAAGGTGGTTCGAGTTGCATTTGCTGCCTTTTAAAAGAAAATAAATGTTAATGGCTGCTTTGTTTTTGATTAGTTGTACAAAATACCATTCCTAAAACTAAATCTGTAAGCCTCTGAGTGACTCACCTGTCTACACCATAGATGTATATAACTGATATCATTTCACAGAATCCAATGACAAGAAGGGGGATAGAGCCTGCAAAGTTGTCAAAAAGAGCTAGCCAGTAGTTTCCAGAGCGTAACGCAAATATGAGTCCAAGAGCAAGAGAAATTAAGCACGTGAGACCTGGAAACACAAAACAAACCATTGGTTAATCTCTTTGTTGGGACAGAAATTCGGATGTAAATACCTGAATGCATCAAAAAGAAAAGTACCAGTAAAGACTTCTTTGGGCCATTTCCTGGGCAGCACTCCAAGATCCTGCAAAGGAACCACAACTCCCTCAATATTCCCAAACATGGTTGAGAGGCCGAGACAGAAGAGCATGATGAAGAAGAGGACGGCCCAGAGAGGAGAAACTGGCATCTTGATGATGGCTTCCGTGAACACGATGAAGGCCAAGCCTGTTCCCTCAACACCCTGAAGAAGAACAGATCACACGTCACATCATGACTCTATGACAGGCAGTTGGTTGTGTAAATACATTTACCAACCTGACTCAAGAAAAACTGCATGTCACAGGTCCGTAAATTCAGTCCTTGGATAATATCTGGGCTTGTTTGGTTCAGATGGCTGAGAACTTGGTCGTAGTTACTTTGGGTGATGTTGTTTTCAGGGTAGTTAAAAGCATTCATTAACTTCAAGATATTACTGTAAAAAACAAACAAGCAAACAAACAAACAAAAGACATCAGCCTAAAATTGGTTCTGCAAAGTGAATCAAACGTTTTGTTTGGAAATCTAAAACTAATGAGGTATGTTAACTAGAGGCGCTATCAGGTGACTTTTAATGGTTGGAGAGAGTGGGCATCTTGTTCAGGGTGAAGACAACTCAACGTACTAGATGTTAAAGCTGAACGTGGTAACATGACATGTTAAATGTATGTTAGCCATAATTTCCATTTGACGGAAATGTGTCAGTACATACGTATTATCTTATCAAGGTATGTCTTAAATGAACGATGTTTCTAATTGGCAGAAGCCAACCAGTGAAAAAACTAATATCTACTGTATATGGAATTCTACACAGAAATCCAGCTATGATAAATTGTTTGCATTGACAACACGCCTCTTCCAATATGGCATCGTGATCGTAGCATAGTGGTCCATCTTCTGAAGCGTGCGTGATGCCTCTATAAATACCTCATTGTGTAAAACTCACTCTCCCATGCAGTCGTCAAAGTTCTGCGTAGCTCTGAAGCCAATAATCGAATAGATGACTGTTGCAGAGTAGACAGAGGTGCAGCCATTGATGATGGAGATGATAACAGCATCCTGTTCACAGTTGTTGCTGTGAGAAGAGTTTAAAAAGATATTTAGGTGGTGCAACTGCACAGAAACCCTCTATAATCGTGTAGCTAAGGAGTTTACTTACTGAACAGAGTTGTAACTGGAAAAAGAGATGAGACCCCCAAACGCCAAGGAGAAGGAGTAGAAAACCTGAGCCCCCGCATCCAACCAGGTTGATGGATTCATTAATTCATCTACCTGGAAAAAAATGAATAAATTATTTGGAAAACAAATTGTTTTGTTTGGTAAATGTGACAGTAAATGTTGTCATGGTTAATTATTAACTAAAGGGTACACCAGGACAGTCCCTGTGTTTTATCTTAGATTCTACTTTCCAAGATCCACAAAATACAACAGACACAAACAGATCTGAAGACTAACACAAGATATGTTCATTTATAAGCAAAAATGGTATCCAGATTTATATGGTTTATTGTTGATGTATCAACATAAACCTTTTTGGCAAGCTGGGCTTTAACCCTCACTATCAGATTTTATCAGTTTTGTGACAAAGGTTTATGGCAGACACCTTAATAAATGTTTTATCTTTGTTCTCACATGGCTGTTATATCATGCGTCCACATTTCATGTTCAGATTACGGAAAGCGTAAAGGTAAGGACTTGGCATTTCTGAAAACACACTTGGGTCCTTCTGACAGATAAGGTTAAGATTTCTTTTAAAGTCATAGTGGAATCATGAGCTAAGGGGACGTTTGCATCTCCAAAACAAATTATTCTGTGTTTACAATCAATAAAACATATTAGTATAATGTCTGCTCGGTCACCTGCATTTAAGCACACTTTGTTTGCTTGTTGGGTCTTCTCCAAGGTATTATTTTTATCTGTCATCCAAATCTGCTTTAGCTTTAGCCATTTCGTAGAGATTGAAGTTATCACTAAGATGCTTTTTATTAGAAATTTAAGGCCAGAATTTCCAGTTCATTCATTTTAGTTCAATGGAGTTGCTCCCCGAAGTTGCTTTTTCAGAAATCCTCGGTGATAAGAGACCATTGGTGATAGCTGCTACATTAGACTATTATTAGCACTTTTATCTGAGTCTATGACTCTAATCTGTTGCACACATATTAGCCTATCATGCATAACAGTTGACTCAAAACATAGACCAATCGGATTGCAGCTTGACAGTATTGGTTGCCCAGCATTTTAACACATGATGGGCTTTCCAAAACCAGGTGAACTCAGGTGATGTATTTTTCAGCTCAACGAAAATAAAATACATATCAGAATATCTGTTGGAAGTCTACTATAGTAAACTGTTATGTTACCTTAGCCTAACGACAAATGCATGACAAATGTTAGGGCGTTATCTATAAATTGAGCTGAAAAAAAAATCATGTCAACAGCCTTAATAAATTAAAACCAGTATCTTAATGGTCTGCAATTTTTGGCTACTAGCTGGCATTAAGTATTCACAAGAATGTCTCCAAAATGTCAAACTAGTCGCCAGATTTCTCAGTTTGATTTGGTGTTGATTGAACTTTGAACTAAAAATTGGCCTCTTGCAACTTTTGAATCATAGCTTAGGTCACTCAATGTTAATTCGAATATCATTAGAAGCAAATTACTACAAGTGAGCGATCTTAACTTGAATGTTTCTACATCGTCTTGATTTTCAGGGGGAAAAGTGTTTAAAAGTCTTTCAGATGGAATGCTGCAGCAATGGGCCTTCAAACATGAACAGTATATGACTCAACACCCTCAGAAATATGTAATTCTCACAAAAAAACTGTAGTACTTGCACATTACAACAAGGGAGGAAGGATTTTGGGGGTCGGAGAGCACTCTCGGCCAGGGGGAGAGGGAGGGGAACAGAAATAACGGCGTTTGCAGTAGCAGAGGAGCACAGACGGAAGATGTGGAGGTGGGGAGCTTAGCATTTCCTTGAAAATTTTGTAAGATTTCCAAAACCCATGTAATTTATGAACAATCTAAAAACTTGACATGTGTAGTTATGGCACCTAGAATACTTAAAGACAGCAGTATTGTGGGAAACTTCTTCTGTTCTTACAATAGGCTAACATTAGCGCAACTAGACAGTACTTCTAGAACAGCTACATCATACAATGTGTGAGCAAAACTACAGTATGCAACATGAATTTTATATCAAGGAAACTAAGAAGGAGATTTTCAAAATAAGACCAGAAAACCTTGTGACACATTGTACTGGGACCTTTCTGTAATCAACAGAAATGCTTACATCTGGAGTGAAGAGGAACTTGATTCCTTCCGTGGAGCCTTTGAGAGTCAGTCCCCTGATGAGGAAGATAGTGAGGACGACATACGGCAGAGTGGAGGTGATGTACACAGCCTGAGAAAAGAAGGATCATCATAAATCACTCAAACAAATACACCCTGACCACGCAGCACCCCTCAGATGTGATGGGACTTTCATACTTTGCCACTTGTCTCAATGCCCCGGATGCAGCAGACGTAAAGCAATGTCCAGGCAGCTACGAGCGACATAACCATCCACCACTGCAGACCTCCAGAGTCATCGATAGCTTCTGACGTATTTAGAGTTTCTCTGTACCAGAAGTAGTCAACGGTGGAGCTACGTGCGCACTCTTCCACCAATCCTTACGAGAACAAACGAAAACCAGAATGAGATTAGGGTTAAATGTTAAATAGGATGATTTTGGAGCCCATTTGTTTTTAATCAACAAGAGCATCATACCGGTTTTGTTAGCATTGAGAGGACACTGGCTCCAGGGCAGAGGATCTTGGAAGGAGTTGAAGAGATACCACATGATCCATGCCATGATGGTGTTGTAGTACAAACCCACCAAAAATGACACAAACAAGGAGGCGATGCCTATAGCAGTGTGTGTGGGGAAAAAACAACAGGTATAATGTTTACGCCACTCTGCATTTTAGTGCACCATGTTAAATGAGGCATTCTCAAGGGGAAGGTTTAAACGTGATGCTTATCAGCTTAATTTACAACACTGCTCTGGTACTGGGGCTTAAAAATAATAATTTTCATGTCTTATTGCTATATTAAGTTTTACTCTCTGTACGTCATGTTTTTACATTTACAATTAACAGCATCCTACAGCACATTGAGTTAACTTCCAGAACTAAATCACTGTTGTTCATGAAGGTTCTCTGAATACACACCGACTCCGGTCAGGTAGGGGTTGATCGACCTCCATACGCCCGAGCTGCCCTTCCTCAGCCGCTGACCGATGGCAAACTCTAAGTGCAGCAGTGGGATTCCCTCCAGAACCAACAGGATGAGAAATGGAATCATAAACGCTCCTGGAAATTAAACATTCACTTTTTATTGAGTTTTCATGGAAATGTGATTGATTTTAACTGATTTACACTGACATGTGCTTTGTTAAAACCTACTAAGGAAATTTTCCAAAAATTGATTCATACTTCATCCTAAAAGCTAATAAACAAAACAAAGCAAAAAAAGGAAAAAAGAGAGCTTTAACCTCCCAATCAGATCAGATATGGTAGTTATCCTTGCATACCTCCACCATGGCTCTGACACAGGTACGGGAACCTCCAGACGTTGCCCAGTCCCACACAGAAGCCCACACAGGTGAGCAGATACTGGGCTTTGTTGTCCCACTTGGGTCTGTCCCCAGCCTCCTCCCGCTCCATCCTCTCCAGGTCCTCATGAGAAGGGATTCTGTCCTCCAGTCCGGGGTTCGGTAGCTTCAGTTTCATGGCTCCTTTTTTTCACACAGCGTTTAGAGAAATGTAGCTGTAATGTTTCCCTTTTTTCAGAAACAATGTAATAGTTTTGCTACTTTTGCAACCTTTTAAGGGGATGTGTGTTCTTTAAAATAACCTCCCTGTGTGAGAACAGCTCCCGACTCCCTGCGTCTCTCCCTCCTCTCCCTCCTTGTCCTCAAGCCCTTCTGTGACGGGGAAAAGGATCACTGAAGTTTTTTTTTTTACTGTTACATCATTGGCAACCACGTTGCAGTTATCAGCTAGCTTATTACTGTCAGTGTTGCATTATGTAACGTCAGCAGGTTTGAGCTGAAAAAAGGTGCAACCTCGTTTATAATGGTTAACACATCACAGAAGATGCTGTCACCTGTGGTTTCCCTGTGATGAGTTTGCTGTTTGAACAGTTGTCAGAGTAACGCCAGAAAACTTAACTAAAGAAATGGGGTTTTTTTGCATTTAGGAGTATGTTTTTTTAATAAAACCATAAAATGATGGTATCTTTTTAAATCTGATTTATTGTTACAAATCTAAAGCATCAAATTGCTGAAAAAGCACATTTCATTTTGTTTGGCAGCTGAAAAGATGATAAACTAATGTGAGTTGACCCTTATCGTCTTAATTCCCAGTATTATCACCAAATGAGTGTGTATAAACCTTATCAGTTTCCCCTGCAAATGCAATAATTAACCAGATACATACCCGTATCTGCATTTACTGAGAGGTGTGTTAGCACTCTAAATCCATCAAAATGCTCAATACATGGCATATTATTGTTATTAACAGAGGTCGCACTCAACAACTGCATCTTTGGGTTTATCGTTTTTTTATGTTCCAGGAGCATTACCATCAGTTCAGTATATTTGTTGTTCACACAGGAACAGAAGCACATCCTGATCCAGATCCTGTTGTATTTGTTTTAGCAGATTATTTGTTCAGGCGACACGATGGTGCAGTGGTTACTACTGTCGCTGCACATCACAAAGGTTCAGCCTCGGACTGGGCTGCACAGAACACTCCAAACACCCCAGTGTCCTTCCAGAGTCTGAAAACAATTAGAAATTCTAAAACATCTTTGGTTGTGAGCATAGTTATTCATCTCCTGTATTTCTGTGTTGAACCTGTGGTTGATCAGGACAAAGCAGAGAAATATATTCAGGGTTCAATTTTTTAATAACTGAGTTCCTAAGGAATCAATTATCAACATTAACACACACACACACACACACACACACACACACACAC